GGTGTCTAAACAAACACCGACACGGCTCTTGTCGTTGACGAGATTGATGATGGCAGCGAGGTCGGCGAACGTGCCACCGATGGTATTACCGAGAGATGCCATTGTCTCAAGTACGGTGACGACCTTACCAGATGTTGGATCCGCATGCGCCCGATTGAGGTTCTCGGCGATGATTCGAATGCCGTCCTCGCGAGTAGTCGCATTTGCATTACCAGGATGGAAGTTATAGAGCCTGATGCCAAGCGCGTGGCAACGCGTGAGGTCATCTAAGAAGGAGTCGTAGGCCTGCTTCTTGCGGACAGGATCGGGATGAGCAAGATTGACCAGGTAAGAACCGTGGGGCAGACAACACTCCGCAGCGTTGATGCTATGGTCTTTGCACCCCTGAATAAACAAATTGGCATGTTCTGGATCCATAGCAGCAGACTCCCATTTACGCTGGTTCTTCATGAACAGTGCGAAGGCGTTAGCCCTGTGAATGTCAGCAACAACTCGACCATGTTGTGAGCGAAGATGCAAAACATACCCAATGTATACCATATTAACGATGGAATTGTGCACACCTAAACGACGATTGTCGAGTCCACGTTAGCCAAAGTTCTTTGCAGAGTGTGGAAAAAGGATAATATGGCGACTAACCTCCGGCGATGCTGACATGGGCGCCGATTCGATGCTTAATGTCTTTGGTACGCTCTGCGCGGGGTGGCTCGATCTTTGCGGTCTTGGTCTTGGTCTTGGCTTTAGGTTTTGGCTTGTCTTCGACGTTGTTACCTTCGTCATTGGCCTTCGCCTTCTTGCCTCTTGCAGTCTTCTTGACAGAGGCCTTGGCAGTGACCTTGCCGTCACCATCTGCATCGATTTCAACCTTGGCATCGATCTCACCCTCCATCACATGGTCTTTTGCTACGGTCTTTTTTGTAGCGACAGCCTTCTTGTTCCCTCTCACCTCAACTTTCTTCGTTTTGCGCTCACCGTCACCACTTTCCTGAGCCGCAGCTTCGTCCCCCATCTCTTCTATGATCTTCGCCTTCTTGATTACGCGCCGCTTGGGTTCGGATGACTCGCCAGTACCCTCAACGTCATCTTCGATATCGACGTACTGTGCTGTAGTCCTCCTTGTGCGCGGAGTCGTCTCGGCCTTTCTTTTCTTGCCATTTACTGCTGGCTGAGTTACAGCAGCGGTCTCGGTAGCTGAAGCGGTGTTTTTAGGAGGGGAAGAGAGTGACGAGTCTGAGGAAGTGGTTGGTATCTTCTTTGCCATGGTTTGCGTTGGCAGGCGCTTGTCGGCGTTCGTGCTCGAGGTAGCTGAGGTGATAGGGACCAGAGAAGTAGAGAGTGGAGTGGAAGAGTGGCGGGAATGATAGGACGAAGAGCTTCTTATGTATGCAGCAGGTGGGCCGAGATGTGCGTAGGGACGGTAAAGGTGAGAGAAGCGAGCACGTGTCAGGTGAGAGGAAAAGTTCAAGGTGCTACTCCTGACAGCATTGCTTGGTGAGCGTGGATTGGGCAACTGTAGATACGGAGGAGATTGTACGTTCAAGTATTTGTGAACAGGTACTACTGTGCCGAAGTGATTGCGAAGCTGGCAAGAACTGCAAATATCGAAGAAGCTGGTAAAGGAGCGCGTCGGCAACGATGGGTATCTCAGGAGGGAGTGACTGATGGCAATAGGTTCCAAGGAGTGACGATGCAATGAGTGAAAATAACTAGAGGGAAGATTGAAGAAACGTGATCTCATACGAGGATAGTAGAGAATGCGAAATGGCTATGAGGATACAGTGAAAGTCGCATCAACGTCATGAGAAGCAGACGCGCAACGCTAAGTCGCGCGCTCACATGGCTTAACCCCGCGATAACTCCGCCTGCAACACCAAAAAATATCGTCTCCAGATCCAACAGCCCACGCCCACCGATCGCAAGCTCGGTCGACACCCGCAGCCACCAAAACTACACACCTGACCACGTCGCAAGAAACCCTAGACATATCGCGATCTTCCGAGTCTCCCCAAAAATATAATCGCCTGCACCGAAACCTTAACCACCTCCACCGCCCAAGATGCCGAAAGCAAAGCAAAAGCGCACAAAGGCCGTGGACAACAATGCCTCTCCCTATGCTCGCCCAACTTCCGCAAAAGCCTCAGCTGCACACTCAATCTTCAAGATGGACAAAGATCTTGGTCAACATATCCTCAAGAACCCTGGTGTCGCGACCGCCATCGTCCAGAAAGCACACTTGAAGCAAAGCGACCATGTCCTCGAGGTCGGTCCCGGAACAGGCAACCTGACAGTCCTCATCCTCAAAGCCGCCAAACAAGTAACAGCCGTGGAAATGGACCCCCGAATGGCCGCCGAGCTCACCAAGCGTGTACAAGGCAGTCCCGAGGAAAAGCGTCTCACAATCCGCTTGGGCGATGTAATAAAAGCCGAGCTACCACGCTTCGACGTCTGCATAAGCAACACACCCTACCAAATCTCCTCGCCCTTGGTTTTCAAGCTCCTAGCTCTGCAGCACCCACCCCGCTGCTGCATACTCATGTTCCAGCGCGAATTCGCTATGCGCCTCTTCGCGCGGCCCGGCGAAAAACTCTACTCCAGACTCTCCGTAAACGTCCAAATGTGGAGCAAAGTCAGCCACGTAATGAAAGTCGGACGCAACAACTTCAACCCCCCACCACAGGTAGAGAGCAACGTCGTGCGTATCGAGCCGAAGAACCCACGACCACAGATTGCATACGAAGAGTGGGATGGTCTGCTACGCATCTGCTTCGTACGCAAGAACAGGACGCTGAGGGCGAGTTTCCTGGGTACGGCTGCGGTGTTGGAGTTGCTGAGCAGTAACTACCGTCTCTGGTGTGCTCAGAACGATATCGAGATTGACGATACGCCCATAGATCCTTCCGAGGTCACCGAGGATAACGAGGAGACGATGGACGTCGACGATGAGTTCAAGGGATTTTCTGACCCAGATGACCCGGATGATGAACTCCCAGACTTCTTCAAGCAACTCCAGGCAGAGAGCAAGAAGAGGCAAAATGGTGTGAACAGGAAGAAGAAGGGGAGGCTGAGTGAGCTGGTCAGGGAGAAGGTGAGGAAGGTGCTCGAGGATGAGACGCAGTTGGCGGATAAGCGTGCGAGGTTGTGTGATGAGGGCGACTTTTTGAAGCTGTTGTATGCGTTCAATCAGGAAGGCATCCATTTTAGCTAGAACGCTGAACGATGGGAGGGATGAAAAAGTTGGGTGGTGCATTTCACGGCGTTTCTTGCTGCATGGTGGGCGTTGGGGTATACCAAAAAGCGTGGGATAACTAGCTAAAGGCGTTCTCATATACGACAGTTTACACAAGAATGGATAGGGAAGGATACGCAACAGCAAGCAAAGGCTAGTTACTTTGGGTATCTAAAACTAAACCACATATCCAATCATCACTTGTTATCCTCGTTTATCGTCTTCTTGGCCAAAGACTTACTAACCCTCAGCAAAAGGATTAGGCGGAAGGGTATCGGGATCAAAGCCGTTCTTCTCCTCTTCCTTGATGCCGTTCACGTCCTCCTCGTGTCCCTCACCATGCGGTTTGCCCTCATCATCATCTGTCTTCACTCCGTTGACTTGCTTCCCTTCATTCGGTCTCCAAAGCCTAATCGTCCGATCCAAGCCCGCGCTAACAATCAGTTCCTCACTCGGATGCGTATGCACGGAAAGCACAGCATCAGTATGCCCGTCTAGCCTCTGCAGCACATTCTTACTGCTAACATCCCACAAAACAACCTGCCCTTCCTCATCTCCCGACGCGACAAACGCATGTTGCTGCCCACCATCCTCCTTCTCGCCGTATGTCCCAAACGCTCCGGACAGCGAGTATTGTTTGTTGACATGGCCTTGATAGGTTTTGACGCATTTTCCCTTTCCTTCGATGTAGTTCCAGAGGCGGATGCACGAGTCTAGGGTCCAAGCTAGAATGTACTTCCCGTTTGGAGAAAAGATTACAGAGGAGACAGGGGCGTTGTCTTCGTGGACGAGGGTGCGCAAGCATTGACCTGTTGCTGTGTCCCACACGCGGATCAGGCCGTCGTGAGAACAGGAGACGATTAGAGTACCGTCACGGACGAAATCTACGCCACCGACGGGGTCGGAGTGTGCAGGGAGGGAACGCATTACTCGGGCGGCGCGTACGTCCCAGAGATAGACTGCTTCGTCGTACGAGCCGGAGACGAGCATGTTACCCTTCGGACTGAAGGCTATGCTATAGATGTAGTTGTGGTGGCCGATGAAGGGAGTTGGGTGCGCCAATCCAGTTGCTGTGTCCCATAGCCGTATGCTCTTGTCGTCTGAGCCGCTGGCTAGGATCTTGGAATCTAGAGACCAGCATATTGTGCTGATACCGGCGAGGTGGCCTTCGAGGGTGTGCTCGAGTGCTCCGGTTTTGGCGTCCCAGATCTTGATGGTGCAGTCGGCGGACGCGGAGGCGATGTAGCGGCCGTCTGGGGAGAATTTGACGCACGATATGGCTTTCTTGTGGCCGCGCAAGATGAGCGTAGGCGCATAGTGTAGAGATGTCGGTTTAGAGGGCTGAGATGTGCGATGTCGGGGCGACGAGGACGAAGAGCTTGAGCGTCGTGATCGCGATGGTGACGGAGAGTATGAAGGCCGTCTGTCTCTGAATTCCCGCTGTTCGTCTTCACTGTCTCCTCTGCTGTAGCGGCGCGCGGGTCTTTCCGCTATCCTATAGCTCGGTGAGGCATTGGGCGGTTCATGGGAAGCGGAGCGTTTGCGCGGCCGTCCATCGTCGTATCCGTCTTCGTCTTCGCGTCGTCGTTTGGGCGAGGTTGATCGTGTCGAGTCCATATTCACCCCCAAAGTGGTTCGTTTGGTGGTCCGTAGGGGAATGGGAAAACGCGACTGATCGGCAATGTGAAGTTAGCGCGCAGGCATCCCTGCATCTCAGGTACATTTTCCCCAGTTGCATCATAGTCCGTCCACTCAACTCACGCCGACTTTCACAATGGCTTCACAGGCCGCCGCACCGCCTTTGAGCATACGTATCTTGTCCCTCAACTGCTGGGGGCTCAAGTTCATCTCCAAGCTCCGCAATGAACGTCTTACCGAAATTGGAGTCCAGATCGCCGCTGCCAATCCGCAACCAGACATTGTAGGACTCCAGGAATGCTGGACGCAACAAGATTACCATGCCATTCGGGAAAAGACACGCCATATCTTGCCTTATGGCAAGTTTTACCACAGCGGAATCTTCGGTGGTGGTCTAGTCATTCTGTCACGATGGCCCATTGTCGAGAGCAACATGGTGCGCTATCCATTGAACGGACGGCCTGCTGCCTTCTATCGCGGAGATTGGTTTGTTGGCAAGGGCGTTGCATGTGCGAGAATACAGATGGGTCCTTCCAAAAGAGATATTGCAGAGGTGTTTTGCACACATGTATGTCCCTCTCTCGTATACAGAGTACACGTACTGATCCCAATAGCTCCACGCCCCCTATGAACGCGAACCCCACGATTCCTACATCTGCCATCGAACAGCCCAAGCGTGGGAAATCACAAAACTCATGCGCGCAGCTGCCGAGCGCGGCCACCTCGTCATTGGTATGGGCGACTTCAACATGATTCCCTTGTCCCTCGCACACCGCATCATCGAGACACATTCGCCTGTTCAAGACGTGTGGCGCATACTGCATCCCGATTCTTCTATCGGCGCAGCCAAAGACAAGGTGGAGCAGGTGCGCGGTGTACCAATGCCATCGGCCCAGTACAACATGACTATCAATGGCGCAACATGCGACAGTGAGTTGAACTCTTGGAGATGGAACAAAGGGCAGCAAAGGCGTCTCACAAAAGGCGAGAACGTCCAGATAGATCCCACGGTTCCAGATCCAAATGCGAAACGACTTGACTACGTCTTCTTCAGTAGCGGCCGATACCACAATCCGGAGACAAAGGAAGAGACAGCTGAGTGGACGCTCAAAGAAGCAAACGTGGGTATGGACATGCGTCACCCCACGCTACACTGCTCCCTCAGCGACCACTTCTCCGTCGAGGCGACATTGACAAGGACTTCTACTGCACCATCAGCCATACGACTATCCCCATGGGCACTGCCTGAACGCTATCTGCCCATCGAGACCTACGACGAGATCATGGCAACCATACTCAAGTACCAGGTCCGAGAGAGGATACAGCGCAAGCTGCGCATAGGCCACTTCTTCTACCAGCTCTCCTTCTCCATTGGCTGTCTAATAGGTGTCTGGTGGTCACCCAAGAATTACGTGTCCTTCATACTCATGTTGTTGAGCACACTAGGATTCAGTGTGGGTGTAATCGATGGACTGATGGGGTTGTTGTTTGTTGGTAGCGAGATGAGGGCACTCAAGGAATTCGAGTGGGAGGTCCGTAATACCAGGGAGCGGGCGCTCGCAAAGAACGAGCTTGTGAAGACGGATTCTGAAAACAGGGAGATAACTTTCGAATCGGAGCGATAATTCTAGTTATATATTGTAAATAATCCAAACCTTTTACAGAAATTGTTCATATGCTGTAGAGTTCCAAAGGTTATGTTGTGAGGCAAGACGCGTGCACGTGCGGTCGTACAAACGCGCGACATGGGTGGCCGAGTGCTTGGCCTCCCAAGGCTCCATTGACCATCATTCCAAACCTCATCACTCCCAGCATCTTACTTCACACACCAGACCCTCATCTCCACCCACACGTAATTCAATCGCAGCAACTACGCGACACACCATCTACGCTTTCCCCTGCCAAAGCTCGTATACGACACCACAACCGTCCAACGTGCGGCTCGGAAGTCCGCTGCCCTCGATATGAGCGACTCCCAGCCACAACAGGCCAGCGGCGGCCAGCAGCAAGGTCAACAGCTGCTACGCCCCGATGATATACTCAAGCTGCAATGTCTTCCCGAAGACGAGAAGCAGAAGTATCGCTTGATCATGCAGAACTTCTGGACCATCTTCAACAACAACCCGCAAGGCAGCCAGGAGAATACAAACGCGCGTCAGAAGCTGACCGAATGGTCGCAAAAGTTCATCGGACGTGAACGTCAATATCGCGCCAAGATGAAGCAACAGCAGCAACAGGGAAACCAAAACCAAGGACAAGCTGGACAGTCTAGTGCAACTGGCCAGCAGAACGCCAACGCGGTCAAGCAAGAAGGAGGTCAGGCTCAACCCCAAGGTTCTGGAGCACCCGCCAACCAGCAAGCTCAAGGACAACAGCAGCCCAACCAAGCACAGAATCCAGGACGCGGCCAAGTCGATCCTGCCATCGTCAAGCATGTTCACGACTTCCCCATGCAAGGGCCAACAAATGGACCTACGCCAGGCACACCCGAGTACGAGAACAAACTGAAGGAGTATCGGACTGGGTACCTCAACATGCTTGCCAAACAAGCGACTTTGACTGAGCAGCGACGGAGGATTATCCAAGAGTTGACCGAACGGCAGAACAACGGGCAGGAGCTACCTCAGGAGCGGCTTTTGATGAAAAACAACATCGAGAAGGAGGCTGCCAAGATCAAGGCTCAAATTGATAAGTTCAGGGCTATGCAAAAGCAGTGGAAGGAGGAGCGCGAGCAAAATTCCCAAGGCCAGGCACAAGCTCAGGGCCAGAACCCAGCGCAATCGCCTCCGCAGCAACAACCACAACAGCAGCAGCAACCACCGCAGCAACAGCCACAACCGCCTCAGCGCCAGCCTTCACAGCCCAATATGCCTGCGCAACCCCAGGTGAAAGAGGAGCCCCAGATCAAGATCGAGGGCGGGCAGGCACCACAACCACAACCGCAAACTCAGTCCCAACCTCAGTCGCAATTCAACATTCAGGCCAATCAAGGAAACCTTCAGCAAGGACCGCCGCAGCAGCAACAGATGCAACACAATCAGCAGCTTCCTCAACAGCAACAAATGCAGCAGCAACAACAGCAGCAGCAGGCTCGACCTCCGCCAGCACCTCACTCGCAGACGATGCCACCAAATCAGATGCCGCAGTTTTCGCAACAAGGACAACAGCAACAGAATTTCCACCAACAGCAGCAACAGCAACAGCGACCCCAGATTAACCCTATGCAAGCGAATGCACACCAGCAGAGCAACTCACCACACCCACAGTCCGCCGCGTCCAACGCGCCTGGTCCGCCAGTTCCTCTCTCGCACCAAGCCGCAGTCAGCGCCGCGAACAGGTCCTACACCGACCCTCAACGCACAAACACGCCGATGCAACAGGGCGGACAGGGCGGTAATTTTGGAAGTCGCGAGCGCGAGCAGCTCAACAACCCAAAGATGCCTATCCCACGCCATCTTAATGTGACTTCACCTCAAGCCGTTCACATGGGACAAGCTCGACCTACCATGAGCGGACCCACAAACGGAGCGCCAGGCCCAATGGGTCAACCTGTTATCCCACGACCACCCCCATTCCAGCTCGAAGGTGAGGGCGACCGCGTGCTTAGCAAACGCAAGCTGGACGAGCTTGTTCGGCAGGTAACAGGCGGATCCGAGGAGGCACTGACACCCGAGGTAGAAGAGGTAAGCTATTTCCAAGCCTCATTTCTTGCATATAAACATTTCTAACCATTGATCTTGTATAGGCAGTTCTTCAACTCGCAGATGACTTTGTCGACAATGTCATTAGTAACGCTTGCAAACTGTCCAAGCTCCGCGATTCACCTCAGCTCGACATTCGCGACATCCAAGTCATACTTGAGCGCAATTACAATATTCGCATTCCTGGCTACGCATCTGATGAAGTCAGAACTGTGCGCAAGATCGTTCCTGCGCAAGGCTGGGCAAACAAGATGAGCGCTGTCAACGCGGCGAAGGTCATGGGTGGGAAAGCGGACTTCTAGTATGGGTCCAAGTCTTTGGAAAGAACGATGTTGCCCTAGAAGGAGGAACTTCTATTATTTCATATCTTCACGCTGGAAACCGATGGATCTTTCCAGGAAGACGAGGAGTTTAATGCGAGACTCAGAGCAGCATTGTTTCAAGAATTACAATCCACATCCACTACTGATTCGACTCCTGCCTCTCCGTCGCTAGAACAACAGTATCAGCAGCTGCAGCTGCAGCAACAGCACCCCTCGGAGCAAGAAACTTTCAACAATTCGCAAACCAACTCAGTCGCTAATACTACTACGTTCACGCCTCTTCCGAATATTCAGTACTATGCCTCGAGACTTAGGTCGCCTATACAAAGAGTCTATCCGCCCAACGAACAACTCAATTTTCCTATTCCAAGCCCAAATCCGCCTACTCCGATACCTCAATCGCCTACAGAAATACTCGATCTGTCTCCGCTAAGATATGACTCGCCTTTCTTCACACCTAATACGCCCATCCCGACACCTCCACCGAACGATCTTACTATCACTAGCGCTTCTACTCCGTCGGTGAGGATGTGCCTCTTGTGCATGACAACTGGCAACAACGATTGCGATGGCAAGAGCGATGACAGAAGTGCCTGTACACCCTGTGCCATTATTAGAGACCACAGCAATTGCATCGATAGCTTCACGTGGAAAAAGGGCACGTCTTCTCGGTGTGTTTCCTGTTATCAGAAAAAAAGAAAGTGTGACTTGAAGAGACCGTGTGGGCAGTGCGTCAAGTAAGCTGAAAAATGGAGAAACCAGGGTGGGTGTTATATTCCTCCGAATAACTAGTGCGTAGGGGTGGCCAACTGGGAAGTCGTCAAGTTAGTAGTTTTATGGATTGTTAGACCGAAATGTACGTGTGTGGATGTGTGCCATGCTACAAGTGTTCAGCGAGTCAGAATCACCCAAGACACCTAAGCATAGACAAGTGGCGGATGCAATTGGTATGTTGCATCTACGCGGTATCACTAAATCCTCATACACTAAATCCTAATATCCAACTCGTCTACTTCTTCTCTTCTAGCGTCAGACCCTCAATAGCCTTGTCTCCGCCCTCAATTCCAACATCAACCTTGGCCTTGTCCTCACCCTCGACATGTCCATCTGGCTTGGCCTCTACGTTGCGCTTGGGGTGGAAAGTACCCTTGTTCTTGACCTTCTTCTCCTTCTTAACGACAGGTGGTGGTGGGTAAGCCTTTTGCTCAATATCCTTCCATGCCTGGTTAGCCTGGAACTCCTTCTGCACTGGCTCCAAAAGCGCGTTGAGTGCTTCGGTGACGGCGGGCTTGAGGTCCTGAGGTGTAAGGATGTCGTTGGAGTAGTCTTCTTGCATCTTCTTGATGTCTGTGTAGGTGAGGGGCTCGGCGTCGCGGCGCTTGACAACGAATTTGGGCTCGCCGTAGATGAGGTGGCCGGCGGGAAGGAGGACGTATTCGACGAAGCTGAGTACACCGTTGTCTTCGACGACTTTGGGTGCGGCGTGAGCTTTCTTGAGCTTGCGCTTCACAACGTCTGCGTCGTCTAGTACGTCGATCTTGGAATCGGGGTCCGAAGAGCTCATCTTTCCTCCTTGTAGACCGGGAACCATGGGGTTCATCAAGTGCGCGCGCTCCTTGTAGCCGATCTTGGGAAGGACATCCTTTGCGAGCGCGAAGATCTTACGCTGGTCTACACCTCCAAACTGGACGTCTACATCGAGGTACTGCTCGTCGAGGGCCTGCATGAGTGGGTAGATGAGTCCACTCAGAGGCGCATTCTCTGTTTGCTTGACAACCTCTGCGCCTGCCTTCTTCGCTGCCGCCTCGCTTGTTATACTCGCGAGTCTCAGAAGATCCATGGTGTAGTCTGAGTTCAACTCGTAGCTCGATCCTAGCACAAACTCCAGCTTGTCGATTGGCACCTTGACGGCCTTGAGCAGTGCGGTGATGGCGTAGCGGTAGTACTCTGCGCGGAACTTGACGAGTTCGATTGGAGCTTTCAGGTTGTCGAGGAAGCCGTGGATGTCAGCGAGGAGAATCTTGACGTGGCAGCCTGCCGCAAGGAATTGCGCGAGCTTGAGAATAGGTACGAACTAGAACATGTGTTGTCAGCGGTGCACGCGACCATATCTCGCCATGTGTACATACGTAACCGCAATGAGGTCTTCCTGTTGTCGCAGTACCCCAGTAAACCTTCAAGTGCCCTTGCTTCTTCAGCGCCTCGTCCATGATCTCTGGGTTCAGCACCTCGGCCAAGTTGACCTTGATGAGCGCCATCTTCTCTTCCTCAGACATGTTCGCACCAGGGTTGACGAACGACGCCTCTTGAGCTTTTTGTAATCTTGACTTTGCATCCTTGAGTTGTGCTTGTGCTTCTTCGATCCTCTTCTCAATATCAGCAATCTCCTGCTGGATCGCCACGGGGTCTGCCATGGTGTCGGCCGTGGTGGGGTACGAGGGGCAGCTGTTGTGCCAATTGACTTGGAACGGAGAGGGACAATGAGGTACGGATGTCACGAGAGAATGTTCGAGCAGAAACAGCGATTTAAGGCTGTTGTGCTAAGCTCAGCTGAAGTGTACGGGTTGTTGGTGAGTCTTGCGCCCAGCTGAATGAGTCGTTGCGGGGCCGGAAACAGTCACCAAAATAACATTTCCAGGGTCCAGCTTGCCGTGCCACAGCCATGTGGCGCCTGCACCTTCCTCCAAGTAAGCTCGGATGAACTCTACACAACATCTCACAACGATAGACTCGGTCGCACTTCTTGCTTACGCCAAGTCTATCGAGACACTATCCTTCAGCTCTTCGTGCACTGTGCGCCTAGCGCAGATTCTGCCGTCATGTTCAATTCCCGGACAGGTACGTACGCGATTCAGCTACTTCATGATGTGACCCTGTCACATAGCAGGTTCTAGCGTTTTTGCTATGTCCTGTGGAACAGCTTGTAAGGTAAGTGACATAATTGCATTGTTTTGTACCTCTTCAATACTACGATATCGTCACAAGTAGAAATGAACAGCCTTAGCAGAGTCTTGTCAGAAGAGTAGCACTTGCTTGTCGAACACATTATCTATCCCAGGTATGTCTCGCTTCGTCCTAATGAAAACACACTACATCCTAGTTGTGCCAGTTCCTCTACCTCTACCTGTTGTCGCGCATCGAATACCCACTTTGGACTCCTCATGCAATTTACAATGCGCTCCCATTCTACGTGCTGATTGCATGGACCTTGATGTTGCTGTTCATCAACAAGAGAGCACCTTGAACACCCACCCGGGCAAGCTGGTCCTGACTTCAGGTAACCTTCCTGATTTTCCACGACCCCAGGAAGGGTTAACTTAACGTAACCATCCGGATGGGTGACCAGGATGTCGTCATAATTGAGCTTTGTCTTCTTGGAACGATCTAGTGGAGCAGGTGGATAGCTGAACGCGGCCCAGGGTGTAAGTATCAGGACCGCGGAAGCCCCGTCGCAAGCTTGGTATGGGTTCGAACAAGCTTTCAACGGACATTTACTACCTCGAAATGATTGCGAAAGCTGGATGTCCAAAAGATAAGGGTCGCATCCTGGATCGTAGATGGTGATACGCCCTGGACGTTCCTCCAAGAGTCGTTGAATGACTTGAATAGACTGAGAGTCGCGTGCGTCCGATGTATTCTCCTTGAAAGCGAAACCGAAAATCGCCAATTTCTCAGACCTCAACGTCCCATGGAACGACTCAACTACCTTGCTAACGAACCGATCGACTTGCCAGACATTGACGTCGATCACAGACCTCCAGTAAGATGCAACCTCGGGAAGATGTAGGGCCTCAGCGAGATAAGAAAGGCTTAGAGTATCCTTCTTCAGACATGACCCTCCAAAACCAAGACCTGACTGGAGATAGTCACAGCCAATCCGAGGATCCAGACCGATGGCATGGGAAACATCGGCTATGTCTGAACCATTGGCTTCACAAATTGCACTAATCGTGTTGATGCTGCTTATTCTTTGCGCCAAGAAGGCATTCGACACTAGTTTGGATAGCTCCGCTGACCACTGTGTCATTTGTAGGATCTTCTTGGGCGGTATCCAATGGTAAAGTGCAGCAAGCTTCTTGGCTGCTGCAAGTCCTGTAGATGTCTTTTGCGACCCTATAAGGATGCGTGAAGGCCTCAACAGATCCGCTATCGCGGTCCCTTCGGTAAGAAACTCAGGATTTGAAAGAACTTCAAATGGAACGCCTGGGCGGAGATATTGTAACTAAGCCAGACAGTTAGTCGCTTGTATTCGCTGAAAGATTGGATAGGCGAAACACTCACCACACCTTTGATCATGTCCACTGTCTTACAAGGTACTGTACTCTTCTCTACAATGATGGCTCCTGGCTTCGCTTCTGCAGCTATGATCTCGACTGCTGACTTGAGGTCTGCAATATCAATTGCAGACCCAGCGCCCTGTCCAAAAGTTTTCGTAGGTGTACTAACCGCAAGAAAGATCATGTCCGCCTCGCTGACGTGCTGGGCGAGATGTGCTGAGAAACCAAGGTTGGCCAAGCGAGTGCTTCGACCTGTTGTCTTCTGATAAAGGCCATCCCGGGCGATTCGAACTACCACATCGAGACCAGCTTCATTGATCGGCAAGTGGTTTGAATTCCAGTGAGCGATTTTACTTTCGTCAATGTCAACAACGTTGACTTGTATTTCGGGATTGGTTAGCGCTGTTACTGCTGCGTTTGTGCCCCCTGTATCACAGTTAATATGGAATGTACAGGATATTGGATCAACTGGAGAGAAAGAGATTCATACCGACATAGCCAGCGCCAACATAGCAGATGTTTGAGATTTGCATCAGTTCATGATCAGATTCTTCGGTCGTGCTCGTTCCCGGTGTTGACAAAGAGTCTAATATCGACGAAATGGTAGGCGTTTCTATTGCTACTTCGACATTGTCCTGTAGCATACTATTATCGATACGAGCATCTGATGGCAGTGAATTCATAATCTTTGAGATCCTCCACGCTATACTGATCCTACTGTAAGATATCAAGAGAAGATAGGAACCTTTCGTTGAATTTCGAGCAGCTTTATCCAGTCCAAATATGTCACAACGTCTGACGATGCATTGAGGCTCTGTCAACACCAGACGCGATATGATAGCCGGCAACTTTGGCCCCCCCACCGGAATCCGGAACATCATGTACCGTCCTCGGGTCAAGCGCAGAATCATTGGTCCACAGCCGCTCTTCATGATACCTCAATCTTGCTAATTCTCTCTAGCGACAGTAGGATCGCAAGCGCTGGGCCACATCGCCAAGATGAATCACGCATAGAGAAAGCAGGGTGTGAGCATAAATCATCGTATTGTCTCGAAGAGTCGATCCTACCATTTGAGATCTCTCCGTCCTAGCGTTGCCGTCGCTTAGACCGCTTTAGGCCACCAAAACAGGGATGCAAGAGCAGCGGGATCCATGATTCTCATAACTTAGACCGGTTTAGCTTGGAACGAGACGATCGGAGGTCCTTCTCAGAAACTGCTCGTAATACCCAGCAACCCCGAAAGGAAAAATGAAGCTTCTGCATTTCATTCGCATCTATCAGCCTGACGGCCGACAGTTCATGGTTGGCTAGACCACTATGAGCGCCCTGTCGGCGCTTCTCTTCTACAGATTGCCACTGCAGGCCATGGTCACACATTCATCTCGGAGATGTAGGGGACAGACTGGCGATTGGATAGATTCGAGCCACCAACATACCTTTGCATCCATGGTTAGGTCATATTACCGGAAGCAAGAAGTCTCAAATACCATAGAAAGGCTATGGGTCAGCTGCAAGACGTTGCCCTGGTATGTCACACGGTGTGTCAGGACGGAGCGCTGAAGTGTAGATGCGCCTCACTGCAGACGAGAGCCTTGGAAGACACCGCTGCATCAAACACTTCCATACATTCAGCGAAGAAAACGATAGAATCAGTGACCGATCGTCCCGTCTCCGACAGTTCTAAATTCCATCAGACTCACGTCCGTTCTCCTCCCTCAAATTGAACGGGATTCCAATCCTACGCCAAGCTATTGATAGCACACGGGGTGTGAGCAATCACATTGTTCTGAAATCCGTGCCAATCTTCCTGAGCTACTGTTCCACCCACGCAAGACTATTGGTGATGCGGCTCCTCGAAATCGCGCCTGACGGCTCTTCTTTGTCCTTCACTAACGACTTGCTTGACAAAATACCTCCTTATGTGATCCTGTCTCATACATGGGGAAATGATGAGGACGAAGTTACCTACGATGATATAATCACAGGTAACGCAGAGAACAAGGCGTACGGTTATGCAAAGATACGGTTTTGCATGAAGCAGGCTTGTCTTGATGGCATTCGGCACATGTGGGTAGATACCTGCTGCATTAACAAGTCTAACTCTACCGAGCTCTCACAAGCCATCAACTCCATGTTTCGCTGGTACAAAGAATCTGCAAAATGCTATGTTTACCTCCCGGACGTCTCCATAAACCAAGTACCAGACGAGATATGGAAGTCGAATTTTCTCCAGAATCGATGGGCCACTAGAGGGTGGACACTCCAAGAGCTGTTGGCACCTTCATCTGTGGAGTTCTTCTCTTCCGAAGGTCAGAGAATCGGGAACAAGCAGACACTTGAAGCTCTCTTGCACGATATGACGGCAATCTCCATTGACGCGCTTCGAGGCACACCGCTATGTGAATTCACAGACCTCGAACGTATGTCATGGATGGAGAAGCGGCAGACGAAACACCCTGAAGATAAAGCGTACGCTTTACTTGGGATGTTTGGTGTACAAATGCCTCTGATCTATGGCGAGGGATCTCGCAACGCATTTGCACGACTCCGAGAAACCATTAAACTTCATTCTGGTCGCAGGGATCATGTAGCAAGTGAGTTCGTAATCTAGAATCATACTTTTAGTGTTAAAACCACATCTAACTTTGTATAGGTATCACGAAGTGTCATAAGGTCATACCTTTCGGAAGAAGGACTGACTTCGTTGGTCGACAAGACATCTTGGAAAGCTTGATGACCAAGATTCCCCCGAACGTCAACAAAGACGCCTGCCAGATGACAGTAATTGAAGGCCTAGGAGGAATCGGCAAAACTCAAATCGCTCTTGAGGCTGCTTATCGTGTACGCGAGAAGAATCCTGATTGTTCCGTCTTCTGGATACCAGTAGTCGACAAGAATACCATCGAAAACGCATATCGAAAGATAGGCAAAGCATTGGAAATACCTGGCATCGACGATAATCGGGCGGATGTAAAGTCTTTGGTCACAAACGCTCTCTCAGATGATAGCTCTGGCCCTTGGCTTCTTGTTTATGACAACGTAGACGATATTGACCTCATGTTTGGTTCAAAACAGGAAAGCTGTTTCTATGACCCTCTTCCTGCCAACCCCAATGGATCGATCTTGTGCACAACCAGAAATCATGAAGTCACGATCCGGTTCGACATAAGCCTCGATAACGTGTTATCGGTCCACGAAATGAACGAAAACGAAGCTTCGCAATTGCTACGCCAGAAGTTGAAAGAACCTCAATTGCGACACCTTCAAAGCACCCACGAACTGCTGGAATTCTTGGCGTATCTGCCATTAGCCATTCGACAAGCATCGGCGTATATGGCAAGAACAAACATGACAACCACAAAGTATCTGGCTTACTGCAAGTCTTCCGATCAGACTCAGATCAATCTTTTGAGCCAACACTTTGACGATAAGAGTCGATACATGTATGACAATAAGGCAAATCCTATCGCGACAACATGGCTGATATCGTTCAAACATATGAGCGACAAGTATCCGTTGGCAGCTCAGTATTTGATGTTCATCTGTTATCTCGCCGAGAAGGACATACCTACTTCAATCCTTCCCCAACAAGATGACGAATTGGAAAGGGATCAAGCTATTGGCGCACTTGAAAACTACGCATTCATCTCACTTAGAGATGATTCGGATTCATTCGACATACATCGCCTCGTGCGATTAGCGGCACGAAATTGGACGAAACAACAAGGCAAGATGCAGATCAAAGCAGCCATAGAACATATCTCAAGCGTGTACCCAGACCCGTCAAACGACAACAAGTCCATGTGGATAAGGTATTTACCCCATGGAGATGCCGCATTGAACACTTGGACTAGAGAGAACAACGATAACGTTGGCTGGAAACTCTTGATCAAAACTGGAGAGTCTCATTTCATAATCGGCAAAGCTCAACTAGCGGAGTCGAAATACCGGCAGGCTTCAGAAATCAGTGAGAAAACATTAGGATTAGACCATCCAAAAACTATCGCAAGTATCAATGGTCTCGCCACTATGCTTCGTCAACAGGCAAAGTATAGCGAAGCTGAAAAGCGACAACACCAGATTCTCCAATCAAGTACGAAGATGTTAGGCCCAAAACATGCCAACACAATCGCCGTCATGAATGGCCTAGCCGAGCTATACCGCCAGTCTGGCAGATATCACCAGGCTGAGCCAGAGCATGAGCAGACTTTACGCCTGTGTTCTGAGTCATTGGGAGAGAGTCATCGAAACACATTGGCTAGCATGAACAACTTAGTCATTGTGCTATTTCAGAAGGGAGATTACCAGAAAGCAGAATCCTTGTGTCGAGAAGCGATTCAAAAGAAGACTGGCTTGCTTGGGCCAGATCACGCAGACACACTTGCGAGTATGAATAGCCTGGCTGTGATCTTTGATCTGCAGGGAAAGTACGAAGAATCTGAACGACAACACCGAGAAAACATGCAACGAAATTCCGAGGTATATGGAGGCGAACATCCCGAGACAATGGCATGTGTTACAAATCTGGCGAGTGTTTTGTATAGACAAGGCAAATACAACGAGGCCGAACGACAGCATAGATGGGCCATCGAAGCGATAACAAAAGAAGCGACGCGAGATCATCCCGATGTACTCGCTAACGTCAACGGCCTAGCTGAAGCAATTCGACAGCAAGGTCGATCTCACGAAGCAGAACAACTACATCGGGCAACCTTAAAATCCATAATGAACATACTTGGCCCAGACCATCCGTCTACACTTTTCGTAACTACTAACCTGGCAGCCACTCTTTTGCAACGAGGGAACCATGATGAAGCAGAGGGTCTCTTTCGACAATCACTAGCTCTGAAAACCAAAATTCTTGGGCAAGACCATCCATCCACTGTATCGAGCGCCAGCGGTTTGGCTGATGTGCTCTTAGCACAAAGGCGCTATGAAGAAGCAGAGGGAAAGTACCGCCATGTTCTCCACTCCAGGATTCGCATTTTGGGTATTCACCATCCTCTTTCGGTCACTAGCATGAACAATTTCGCATTTGCATACTGTCTTCGGCGAAGAAACTGGGCTGGAAGAACTGCGCAGATGGCCTAGTGCAGTCAGTAAACGCTGGCTCATCTGCGTCACATTACAACTCTGCGTGCTTGCGCATCGACTTTAAAGATAGTGTTTGGGTTAAAGGCAATAGAATTCATAGCAAGCTGGAGGACAACTTATGTACATACATACATGTAAACGAACTGTATTAAAAATGAAATCCTATTCAGGCTAAGTATTGTCTCATCCAACTTTAACTCCTGGGTTAGCAGACGAGTTCTACTTGAGAGAGAAGGTCCAGCTAAGAACCCAAAATTACAAGACCGTGAAAGAATCTGCCTGACCAAATCAAAGACAACTTCACAGGCTGTGTGGCAGAACGTAGTAAGAAAGTACAATTTCCACTTTAAGTCAACCCATCAGCGCTGTCTGTTCATGCATTGTTGCATCTGAACTCTCCTTGCTTATGCTCGGCGTTTCATCCATTTGGAGCAACTGAACCGTGCCATGATGCTGTGGAGTGTTGGCGTAGATAGTCTCACCTTGAGGAGCAGATTGGACTGTTTGCAGACCGCTGCTAGGACTTGTAACCATGTTGACGAATGTCTCGACATCCCTTCGCAATACATTCAGGATGTCGGAATTTCCATCTTGATTATGGAACAAAGAAAAGGTTTGATCAGGAATTCCTTTCGATGTAGCGTGACATGCTTCGCCAACGGCATCGAATGCCTCATGCAGGTCGTCTAATGAGCCTGTTGCCTCGAATAGCTTGTAATGTTTCGTTCCCGTGGCCAGCAAAACAGCCGCTTCCGAAGTGGATCGCTCTTGGGTGGTCGTCTTCTCGGTCGTACTAACAGTTTCTCTTGAATTGCCGACACTGTCCCTTCGTTGTCTCTTTGCGGGTCTCGGGACATCGGCCGATCGAAACATGCTATCTTGGTCTAGCGGTACATGATAATAGATAGTGGACCTGCTCATTATCACCGGTCAGTGAACCGTAAGACATGGGGTTTCTAGCGAGTGCTGCACTGACATCGTCCTCAGGCAGAAATTCACCGTCTGGGTCAGGAAGAGAGTCACTGGAGGGTCAGGGTTACAGAAAGCTTGCACGACAACCCTTGTTGGTGAAGCCAATGCGAGATTTAGCTGCTTGATGGTACAAATTTATGAGGTAGTCTAGCCTGAGTATGTGCTAGCAACAGCGGGGACCAGTAGACCTGGAAAATTGAGGCTCAACGGGTCTACTCATATGGAAGGCGAGTCTATGCGGAGCAAACCCCTGCGACATCTTGCAAAATGGCCCCTACGAGAATCCTTGTGGAAGCTGAAAAAGAGGGGTAACCCCTCTTCTCACCTCGTTTGGGATACCTGCATCTCAGGCTGTAAACACAGAGTACATCTGCGATGCGTGGCGCCGCGTTGCATGATACCTAAGTAGATACCTGCATATGCTTTTGTGTGTCTGCCTGTAAACCGGCTTGATTTGCTGGGCGATCCTTCACCGGCTGGCTTCATCCCTGGAGATACAATGCGGGCGTCATCTCAGCCATACATATTGCTTTTCATCCCCCAAAGTACAGCTGGCATGCCACGAGTTCGTATCGCTTAATGTAAGACGGGCGCAACCGGTGAAGCTACGATAAGGTTGGGGTAAGATGATCCCTTGTCGCTAGTTTCAGTACTGTAAGCTATTTAGACCCGGTCCGACGGTACTAAATCTAGCTAAATATTACAGGTTTCCAAGTGCATCCTCAAGTGCCTAGGTGGCGTGAACATTGCCTCAGGGCTTCACAAAACCTATTTCCTAGGAAGACTAAAGTATCCCATTCTTGAGTACGCTGATCCTTCCATCCTCCTCTTCTCGCATTTCGATCGCAACCTGCAAAAGATTTTAAGGATGTCCGCCGATTATGTCATTATTGGTGGTGGCACTGCAGGTCTTGTTGTCGCTAACAGACTTTCTGCCAGCCCCAACACACGAGTAGTGTTAATTGAGCCAGGGGAGGACGATAGAAACAACCCCAACGTTACAGATCCACTGAGACGCGATGAAAACGCCAACACCGCCATCGATTGGTCGTATAAATCGACCCCACAAGCCCAAATGAACGATCGTAGCGTAGAGTTTATCGCTGGGAAAATTGTCGGAGGAACAAGCATGATCAATGGCATGATGTACATCCGAGCTGCTACAGCAGAGATTAACGGTTGGGAAAGACTTGGAGCAAAAGGATGGAACTGGAATTCTTTGTGGCCTTTCTACAAGGGTCTTGAACGGTTTATCAACCCAACTCCTGAGCAGAGCGACTCCGGTATCAAAGTCGACCCGGAGTTTCATGGAACGAATGGCGACCTGGCTGTCAGTTATCCGACTCAGCTTCCTACTGGACATCTCTCGTCCGCCCTAGCAGATACATGGGAGACCTTGGGGGTGCCTACCCGCTCGGATGCAAATGGCGGCATGGTCGAGGGCTATACTACTCGGCCAATGATGATCGATAGTAAGTCGGGAGTTCGTGCCAGTGCCGCTGTGGCATTCTACTATCCGATATCCGATCGCAAGAATCTCAGTCTCATTCAAGGTACTGTCCTCAATCTTACGTGGGGTGATCGTACAGAAGAAGATAGTCTATCAGCTGATGGGTGTCAATATCGAGACGGGGACGGCAAGCTACATAGCGTCAGACTCAGTGAAGTTGGTCAGATCATACTTGCAGCGGGTGCATTAGCAACTCCAGCCATTCTTCAAGCGTCAGGCGTTGGGAGCTCATCTCTCCTCAACGATCTCGGGATACAAGTTCAACTCGACCTTCCTGGAGTCGGAGAAAACTTACAAGATCAACCAGATCTTACATTCTCATACAGTCCAAAGAACCCAACCCCGGATGCCATCACCCCTTACGCAGCATTCGTCACAGCAAGGGATGTGTTCGGAGAAGAGACAGAATCTATGGCAGCGTATGTGTTTCACGGTCATTGCCAGTCGTCTGAAAGCCAACTACGACTTATAGTATCAGAGAGATAGACTAACAAATTCCTAGTTCCACAGAGGCGAATTTGCGCGAATGGGCCGAGATTGTTGCGTGCGCCAACAAGCACGTTGGACCAGATGCGATTGAAACAATCTTTCGGCATCAACATGGTCTAATCTTCAAAGAAAAACTTGCCATAGGCGAGATAACAATGACGTCATCTACGAAAATGTCGTCCGAATACTGGTCCCTGCTTCCATTCTCCAGAGGAAGCGTTCGGCTTAGCTCCAGAGCGGAAGACGGGACATACGAGGTAGACATCGATCCCAGATTCTTCCAGATTGATTTCGACCAAGACTGCTTCACTAAGCTCGGTCGATTGGTACAAAAGTTCTGGTCAACAGCTCCAGCTGCAGAGAAGGTGACATCGAAAATCGAACCAAAGAATGAAAAACTACCGGATGATGCATCGACTGAACAATGGAACTCTTACGTCAAGGAAAAAAGTAAGTCCTTCGTCTGAGCCATAGATTCTGGTTCTAGTGATCTGACTAATTCGCTGTTTAGCTGTCGCCAATCATCATGTCCTTGGCACAGCAGCCATGATGTCGCGTGAATTGGGAGGCGTTGTTGACGAGAATCTGAAAGTATATGGGACTCGGAATGTGAGAGTGGTTGACGCCTCCATTATTCCAATGCAGGTTACGGGCCATTTAGCATCGACAGTCTATGCTGTTGCTGCGAGAGGAGCAGATCTGATTCTGAATGGTAACTAAGAGATTCGAAGGCCTTAGCCTGTACGTCTCTCGGCTCTATCGTCACACCTTGAGGCTTCTGAAGTGTGTGGTGATCTTTTTTTTGAGAGCCTCTCTTGCGCATGAAGCATCTGGGTTCCTGAGCTCATGAGTCGCTCTCTGGTCATGAATCATGGCCATAATATTGGATCCACACCTCACGATAGCCACTTGTGTCCATAGACCATCTATCGTTACCTTCAATAGCATAGTGTTATTTGTGACAGAAATACAACTAGCTAGACAGGACAATATTCACTACACTACTTGCCGTGTAGAGATGACCGGATCCACAGTGCCTTCTAGTATTTAGTAGCATATACTGGTCGATTCATGCCCACCCACGGTCCCGATGGTCCAACCATTTCAGGCTTCAAGTCGGCAACAGTAGCAGCCCCTATGTTCCACATAGTATATGAGATTTCTTCGCGGAGAACTGCACAGACATCAGTCTTCTCTCACATAGAATAGACGTGCAAGAGTAGGTTTGGCAAAACATCACACTTACTCTCGATCGCTCTTCGAACGCCGTCCTCCCCATGAGTAGCATTGGCGTAGAGAAAAGTGCGGCCGAAGCCTACAGCTTTGGCCCCCAATGCAAGTAATTTCACGACATCAGCACCGTATCGAACACCTCCATCAACCAGGATATCGATCTTGTCAAGCAGATCGGGTCGGTAGGTTCTGAGCTCGTAAAGAATATCGATCGGCGCCGGTGCATAGTCTAGTTGTCGACCTCCGTGATTCGACTGATGGCATGTCAGGGTCAACATCGGCAACTAGGTGCTCATGGGCGCAATATGACTTACAATCATCACTGCATCAGCACCGTTATCCACACACAGCGCAACATCCTCGATAGTCTGTACTCCCTTGACGATGATTGGAAGCTTGGTCTGGCGCTGTTGACAGTCAACACATATCCTAGTTAAGCCTCAGAAGCGGACCAGAGAAGCACAAGATACGTACCCGAATCCACGAAATGTCGTTCCATGATAGATTCCGATCTTGACGCCCGCCCATAGCCATGAAAGCCCCAAGTGAGGCTTTCGGGAGTTCACCGCCATGACGAGTCTCCAAAGTCCTCTTCGACCACCAGCCTACGTCGACTGTGAAGATGATGGCTTTGGCACCAAGACGCTCTACCTTTTGAAGAATCTCGGTGGTCAAGTCGCGATTCACGTCGATGTAAGTCTGTGCATGATCCCATAAGATACTACATGATCGTAAAAGAGCGAAGACAAACCTGGTAAGCCATAAACTGATCCTCTTTCTTCGCTGCAAATATTTCTTCGAGAGTGCAGCTTGCATTTGCCGATACCTGACTTAGTGATTAGGCTGCCTCGAATGTTTGAATCACACCAAGTGCTCACAGATTGGAAGATTCCAGCGTCTCCGGCGGCTTTGGTCAGATTGATCTCGCCTAACGGATGGCCAAGTTTGCACATGGCGGCGGGTGCGATGTAGATCGGCAGTTCACTTTCATAACCTAGGAATGACGTCTTTATGGAGCCATTAGACATGTCTCGAAGCATCCGTGGTCGAAAGGAATAACGGCGCAAAGCATCCATACTTCCCTCGTAAGCTACACTATTGTGAGTATGTATTGTATATCTGGCGAAATCTCAGGCGCCGTCTCACTTACATCTTTCTTGGTCAGCCGCGCTTCGGTAATAGTTCCAAGCAACATCAGTGAGGATCTTCTGGGCCCAGTCTTCGAAATCTGGCAAGACTATCATTTTGTCGACCGTGGGAAGAGCTTCACGGGCTCTCCGTAACTCTTCGTCGTTTCCTGGCGAGTGTTCACCGTTGGTTGGCGGCACGGTGACTGGATTGACAGCATCAATGTGTGCTTCTGATTGCAATTGATTTGGTGCGTCTCGAACAGGATTCAGACCATCATCTTTCTGGCCATCTACAGGGGGAGTCGAATTTGCTTGTTCGTCTGGCATTATCTCATATGCTCGAGTTCGCAAACTTGATGGAACAATGTGAAAGGACTTGTGGAGTAGGGTCGAACTATTATCGAGGCTGGCGTTTTCAACGTCAAGTATGCAACTCAATGATGATTTAAGCTCACGTACATTGGCCGATTATGGTGGTGTGATGAGCGACGTGCGATAACAGACGGGAGTTCGGGTGTTTTCCGGGTGTGGAACGTTTCCAAGGGTTGGCAAAGCTAGGTTGCGTCGGTCAAACCGCAGATCGCATGCACTGGTCATGAGCTTTCTGCATAGGGCATAGCGCTTGTTCATTCAACACTTTCTGTATCGTTCAATGATGACACCACTTGCATCACGGAAGGACAATCTATGTTGTTCCTATTGGAGGCTGAGGAAAATGTGACGAGAAAGCTCTCTATTCTTGAACACGGGAATTAGCGAGCTCGAGATCCTGAAACCCCTGCCAAATCTGCCCTTCCAGCGGTCATCGGTCGATGCGTCTCAAAAACCGGTCAGCAATATGTCGTGGGTAACGTGGATCAAAAGCATGAGAGAAATGTCTCTCTACAGGTAAAGAAACAATATCAGTGTCCTCACAACTCATCGCGCTGGACCAACGCAAGCTCGTCATTCATGCTAAGGGATAGACCATCGCAATCAATAAGACAGGCACCCAAGATTTTCTAGGTCTGAGATATATTCTCTGGCTATGCGTGCTCCCGTCTACCCCGAACTTCGGATTCGTAAGTGCTAGTTGTGGTGGTCGCGCAACGCGTACTTGTTATGTGATTCAACGGGGGGTCAACACGTCCACTTGATCGAGTTCGATTTCGATACTACACGCGAAAGCCAAGCAGCGTTATGGCTTGATTTATGTGCAATCCATATTAAGGCTACGTTCGAAAGAAACATTTCAAAGGGCTGTGAGAGTCCATGCATGTGTCTTACATTGCAGGATACAGGCATAAGACGCAATCATTCCAAGGTTGTGATTGGACAGCGGTTGGAGTTTGGAATCCTCAGCTCACCTGCCATTGGTCCACGTGGCGTACAACCATAGAGGCTGTACTTCCTGCGTTTGCCAAAAGACGGATTCGTTGTAGTCTCACGACTTTGGCGAATTAACACCACGCAATAGAACGATACGGAGCTAAAATCGTGCGTACCTATACACAGAAGTTGTCTAAGTGTGATCAGGCGATAGGGGAAACGCCTGTAAGAAAGCCTCATGTTCTATTTGTATCGCCTCTCATGTTGTGTTCCAGCCTTGCGCCCAAAAGAATAAAGAGTGATAGGTTTGTCTTCTGTTCTGAGTCTACCGAAATTGAAATACTCCAAGAAACCATAGGTATCATACGATCAAAAACATGGCTCCATCCAGAACACCACGCGTCGCCCTAGTAGGTTGTGGCCCATGGGGCAGGAATCTTGCCCGCAGTTTTGCTCAGTGGGGAGCACTTGATACCATTGTCGATGCTGTGCCGGAGCAGGCAATCCAATTAGCAGAATATATAGCAAATCAGGGATTTCATCAACCAACCATCTCCAGCTGGGAGGAAGTACTCAAAAACACCCATATTGATGCAATCGCGCTTGCAACACCAGCACCAAAGCACGCTGACATGGCGTTTACATGTTTGGCAGCTGGCAAACACGTCTTCATCGAAAAGCCTTTCGCTCTGTCAGTCGAGGATGGAAATCGCGTTATCCAAAAAGCAGCAGAAACGGGAAACAAAATTGTCATGATTGGCCACCTCTTCCAATATCACCCTGCTTTCATCAAACTCAAAGACATGGTACGAAAAGGACGACTCGGTGTCATCCAGCACATACATTCCCGTCGACTCAACTTTGGTCGCGTTCGTGAGGAGGAAAACGCTTTTTGGAACCTTGGTGTGCACGACTTATCCATGATTCTCACACTAGCAAATCAATCCCCCGATATCGTCACGGTTCAGGGGTTCCATCATCTTCGCCAAAACATCGCAGACGTCGCCTCTGTAGCCTTATCGTGGTCATCTGGGCTTCAAGCGCATATTCACGTTTCGTGGTTGTATCCACAAAAAGAAAGAAAGATGATAGTCGTGGGAGATATCGCAACCGCGGTTTTCGACGATTGCGAACCATGGGAGACCAAGCTTCGCGTTTTTAACAACAGTTTCCAGCATATCGATGGTGTTCTACAAGCTTTGAAGGGTGGTTGGGAGGCGATACTTCTCCAAGTTCAAAAGCCACTCGATGCCGAATGTCGAGAATTTCTTGACTGCGTGGAAAGCGGACGTCGCCCTATCACCAGTACGCTTGAGGCGCTACCTGTTGTTGAAGTTTTAGGTCGAATAGAAGCTGAGATCCAGAAAAACCGATTTGACAGCCACCCCGTTGTGAACGAAGCGGTAGAGATCGACTATCAGATGCCCTCAGATCAACGGCATGATAGCATCACTGAAACGACGGAGCAAGGCGAAGTTGACAATCTACCCGCCGAAGATCAGGTTGATGAGAAAGTGAACAGGGTAGGTCAACACTGCGAGAGCAGTATACCACTGCTTGACCTCGCGACTCAAACAGAGAAACTTCAGGAAAAGCTAGACAACAGGATAGCGAGGGTATTTCAACATGGAAAGTTTGTCCTCGGGCCCGAAGTCCAAGAGCTGGAGTCCAAGTTATCCGATTTCACCGGCGCCGCTCATGTCGTCACCTGCGGAAGTGGGACAGGTGCTCTAACATTATCACTGCTCGCTCTAGGTATACAACCAGGGGATGCCGTACTTGTTCCAGATCTGTCTTTTGTCGCCACCGTGGAACCGGTGGTATTGCTTGGTGGGATCCCCGTGTTCGTGGATGTTGAGCCGCAACACTTGACAATCAATGCGACGCTGATCGATGCAGGTGTCATGGCTGCTAAGAAGGCAGGACATCGAGCAGTCGGTATCATTGCAGTCGATCTTTATGGACACCCTGCCGACTATGACGCATTAAATGAAGCTGCAAGTCGTCACAACCTGTGGATCATTGGTGATGCAGCACAAAGCTTTGGTGGAAGCCTTAATGGGCGCCGTGTTGGTACGCTCACCCAAGTGACCACGACGAGTTTCTTTCCCTCGAAACCGCTTGGATGTTATGGCGACGGTGGCGCCATATTCACAGAGGATAGAGACTTTGCGCATATTTTGAAATCCCTACGTCAGCACGGTCTTGATGAAACAAAGTCGAATGGCTTACGCATTGGATTGAACAGTCGACTCGACACGATCCAGGCAGCCATACTCCTTTGCAAGCTGGATCTGTTATCCGAAGAGAGGAAAAACAAAGAGAAAGTCGCGTCGCGATACTCATCTTTATTGCAGAGCGTGGTTGAAGTGCCTACTACACGTCCAGGCACGCATTCTGCTTGGGCTGCGTATACAATACGGTCGAAACATCGTGACACAGTCAAACAACATCTTCGAGACCATGGCATCGCCTACGCAATTTACTATTCCATACCTTTCCACAAGCAGGATGTGTATCAGCGATTTCCAGTGATCGAAGGGTCTTGTCCTGTCACTGAGCGTGTTTGCGAAGAGATCATTAGTCTCCCGGTAGGTCCTTATCTAAGCTCTACTACACAGACACGTATAGTAGAAACTATACGCAAGGCCTTAGGCTGAGGAAGTTCTGAATTGGTGTTCTGTTGCAAGGTCAGATACAGGTTTTTGGAAAGTGTGAGTGTCAGAACCGACACAGATCGCGTAAAGAATGACAGTTTCTTTGGTGAACAAACCTCTGCTGTTCACACGTATAGATAAGCGTATTACTGATAGCTATCGAAATGGTCATTACCATATGCGAGTACCTAACGACCGCTTCTCAAATCCTTCAGAATCCTCTGTATGACAGGCTAAAGTGCGATGACTGCCTCGGTGAGACTGGGCACCGGTACGTCGTTACCAGTAATTGTGGCCATATTATATGCTGTCGTTTTGAACACCTCACTGGGGATTCTTCGACGGGCCTGCCTTGGGCGATAGGCATGCTCGAAGAGATTGAGAACGCAGTCCTCATAGTACGCAAAGGCGATGGCCATGGAAACGTGCCTCTGGGCGGAGAGACAAGCGACCCAGTTGGCAGGCACTTGATCACTGGGGAGGCGCCTGCAGAAAGATTCCTGAAGACAAGCTCGTGATAACTGCTGCACCCATCCCACCTTCTCTCGGCGACTGCATGCTAGAACTACCTCCACGAGGTGTCATGCTAAGATTGGATAGCAGAGTTGACAGATGTTGGTGGGGGAAGTGTAATGCAGAAGTGGAATAGCGTGGGCACAAGCCTTTTATCAAACCTGGTTGCAAGCTTAGGTACAACAATGAATTAGACGACTAAGCATTGCAGGAGGAGTTATCTTCGGTAAACAAGTGTTTTCTGTTCGCATATTTAAAGGAGTGTATAGACAAGAAGTAGACAAGATCTAAGGTAAATCCACAAAGAAGTAAAACCAATAACCAATAGCACCAATCGCTCAAAGAATCTAAACCGCGCCGTCGCTATGTATGTCGAATTAATGCTGTCGTGCTCTCATATGTTCGCCCTCAGGTTTCTCTCAACTGCATTGTGCGTCCCTTAGCCGGATTTGTATCCACACTTGGCCATGCAGACTTTGACATCCGTGACGAGGTTTACCGGAAGGGATTTGGCGAACTGATCAATGTCCTTGGCGTCGATTTGCTTTGGCTTGTGTTAGCATAGTGGCAACCTTGCAAGATAGGTAGGACTTACCTTGAGGCCGAGGGTAGCATCAACGACCTGAGAGTTGAGGGCAAAGAAGTTCTGCGCAATCTGACTGGTACCGGGGTCCTCAGAGTTGAGAGTCGCCACGAAAGTCGCATCTTCGCAGTTGTTGTTGAATTGGTAGTGGATGGAACCTTGGGGGAAGACAGTGCCATCGAACTTGTGGAGGTAGCCGGCGATTTCTGGGTTCTTCATGGGTCCAACAATAGCATTCTCTAGGACGTAACCAAACTCAAGGTTGTCACCTTCGACGAGGGTGAGGAACTCCGTGGCCCGTGGATGTATGTGAGGAGAGTTGATTCCGCAGGGCTTGAGGAAGCCGACAGTGGTGCTGATACCAAGGCCGGTAAGGATGGGGAATTTCTCGATGTTCTGGAGCAAGAATTGGTATAGGTCATGGTACTTGAGGCAGTATGAAACTTACAGCTGCAACCGCAACACCGCCGGTTGAGTTCTTGGGTGGTGTAGTAGTGTTGCTGAACGTGAAGACGGTCGCCTTGCGGAGATCCGTTCCAGTGAGGAGCTCTGCGTTGTCCGATGGTCCGGTAGTCAGGAGCTTCTGGAAACGCTTGACAGCGGTAGGGGCTGTCAGGAGGGCACCGAAGTCGACAGCCGGCGAAGAGGCTGCTGCTGGAGCAGCAGAGCTGGCACTAGCGACCGTATCTTGCCTTGCCCCAAGACGCTGAGGAAGGGCCTGGACGGCACCGAGAGCGAGCGAAGCGACGATAACTTTGGTGATGGTGAACATGATTACAGATTAAGAAGCGAAGGCTTGAATAAACAGAAAGGAAACAAGGAGATAGTGGAAAATAGAGAGAAAAAGATGAGACTGTAGTATGGTTTCTTGGTTGTGAGTAAGGAGATGAATTTTTGACTGGTGGCCTACGATGCCTTACTTATACCTACGTGATTGTTGTCTGTCTTACTGGCATGATCAGCTTTCCTGAACGGAAGCCTCAGATCCGTTGACAGCAGGATGGCTGTACAGCACGGTGTTGTTGCTTGCCGACTCATGGCGTGCTTAATCCGGAGAGGGAGCTGGTATGCTTAGACATCGCGGGGTCAAGAATATCCATTGGTTGGGATCCAAAATTGGTTCGACTACGTTTTTCGGCCTGTCAGCCTGACAGCGGGAGCGCTGACGGGGCGTAGGCCCTTTAGGGGCGGTGTATTCTGAGCGCTGCGCGTCCGAAAAGACAGTACAAGAGGGGGAAATTACTTCCTGCTCTTGTATATGCTGATGAAACTGAAACACTTGGAAATGAAGCTGAGCGTGCGAAGCAGTGATGATGCTTGCTGAATCTGTGCGTGAATCCCAAATTAATGAGGCTGACGACCTTGCGCAGTATGAACGACACTCTGTCACTGAAAGAGTACCTAGGCATGCGCCTGAGCATCAAGGACGGAAGCGTGAGTATCCGCGTCCTTTGACAGAGCGCGTTGCCTGGCATTCGGCGGTGCGTGAAGTTGGTCGCGTGCGAGTGGTCGTCAGCTTCCGCTTGACGCCTGGTGGGCCTTCAGTTTACTTGAGGCTGTCTAAAATTAGCCCCAGACTGACTCGCAATGCCAAACCATCTCTAAGAACAAACAAACAAGAACGAACGCTAGTCAAAAGAGCAATCAAATTTCGCAATGCATGTAGATTTGTCATACGTTATGTCGGACGCTGAGCAATGTGCAAGCAAAAGTAGATGCATTCAAAAAATCATACGCTACGCTAAATTCACAACTGACACCAAGCTTGTCGCTCACAAACACCCTCAAACCAAGGAAAGAAACAACATAAGGTCGTCAAAATGGGCTCTAGTTACGTAAATCGTGATTCTGACACCTGTTCGGACTCAGACTCGACATCCATCATGTTCTGCTCCTTCCAGAACGGGAGTTCATCCAGCGTAAAGCCATCATCACTGGGGATGGACGGCGGACCCTTCCAGTGTGGCACCGTTGTCCCTTCATCGGGTTCTTCAACTTCCGCGATATTATTGGTATTTGAAACGCCCCTATCTTCGAAGATGAGTGAGCCCCTTCTAGGCCCGCGAACGCGGCGTCGCAGGCGGCGAGCGTTCTGGTCCAAGTCGTCGAGAGGGTCGTTATCGGAGTAGTCGCTGTCTCCTTCGACGCTCTGGCTGTGGCTGCGCTTGAAGATGCCTGCACTCCATCGTTTCTTCTTTTTGAGATATATGCGCTCCCTTTCCTCGTCATCTGAGGAATCTTCTTGGAGTTGCAACTCATTCATTCTCGCGGATATTTCTGCTTTTGTGCCGCTTCGATCGCTTTTTGCGTCTTCGAAATGGTCTGGTCGCACAACCTCTACGTCACAGTCGTAGCCTGGATCGTCATCCAGTTCTTCGAGTACAAACTGGGCACTCTCTGTCCGGCGCATTGGCCTTTCATCTTCTTGTTCACATTCTTCATCCGACTCGTTGTCCTCGTCAAATTCGCTATCAGTGTCAGATCCTTCCAGAGTTGTTGCCGGGTAAGCACGGTCGGACTCTGACGATAGACGAGAAGATGGCTCGCATGACTGTGGCCGGGTGAAGCTGAAGTGATAGTCGTGTCCGGTCGGTTCGATGTACTCCAATGGAGGTGTCTGCACGAAGTTGCTGGTGCGGCTGCGGACTGGAGAGGTTTTGTATGTAGGGGGTTGGAAGCGACTATGTGTATCAGGAGTGGGCGTCATAGGCGGTGATTGCAGATGGCCGTTGAGCGTGGCGGCTGGCGGTTCGTGAGGCATTGCCATTGTCAGGAGGGCGTCGTGGTGGTTTGACGGGAATGTTGCGTCAGGCTTGCTTGCAGCCAATTGCGATGGCGTACGTATCGATGATCTCCTCTCTCGTGATTATGCTGATTTCTTAAGGAATCAAAGTCCGACAGACGTGTCTAATCTTTGAAATGCGGAAGAGGAGTTGCGTCGACTGTATCATTCTGGAGGTGGTCCGGGAGTGTTTTACTGGGATATCTGAGCGGCGAGCTCGAGCGGAGAGGTGGAGAGTTTTGAGAAGGCGAACCCTGCAACGCCTTGGCTTATCGTGCAGATGGAATTGGAGTACTATAGGCCGCAATGCAGGAAATGTAGCTCGCAGATCGGTAAAAGCCACAAAGTGCAGGTCAGTTCGGGTGCGACGCGTCAGTGGTAATCGAATGGGAGCACAAAAGAAGAAGAAGAGTACTGGAGGAGGTATGAATTCCCTGCAGCGTGAGAAATGTGTGCGGGCTGTCGCCAATTATCACCTGCGTTTCAGCAATGAGCTGGCCGGCCACGGAGCGGGTCTGCAGCATTGCTGCCCTTTCCATGTACAGCATCGCTTTCCATCCTTGACTCCGATGCTCGTGGTCGCGAACGATTAGTCGCAACAAAGACTCGGGCAATCTACCTTGCGTCAGGCTGGATGGATGCCCAATGAGGTCAGCGAGCAAAATTGTCCTGCACAGGGCGGGTAGGTAGTGTTGGCACTACGATGCCAGCTGGCACACGGAGTCGCATTGGTGAGTTCTGCGGGGCATCGTTGCAGGACGCCAGACCAGGGGAGCCGAGCCACGCAGCAGAGGCGAGATTGGGATGAAGCAACGTGAAAGAGTGAGGCTCTGCTTGCGGCAGCTAGTGTGGAAACTCGACGTTCGCTTGAAATTGAAACATGGACCCGACGCCTTCAGACGGAGTTGGAACGATGTCTGGCAGATCTCACGTGACTGTGGTGGGGAAACCGCGCTAGGGACCAAGACGGCTAGGCTGTTGATCGGAATGTTGCGTGGCATATCGAACATTAGCAACAGCAGCTCAAGGAGGCAGCAGTACCAAACATAATAGTCAACACCGTGTTTCTTTCTCTTTGCCGTATACCCGTATCCCCCCGCGCTTGCTGTCTCTTGCATTGAGGTC